CCCTTCTTCCACCCCGCCCCCTCCTCCTGCCTCCATCCCTCCCTCATTTTCTCTCTCTTCCTGTCCATCGCCCTCGCGATCCTCGCTGGATATTTCTTTCTTTTTTTATTTATTTCTTTCTATCCTCCCTCCCCGAGAGTTTCGGGCGCTGGCTTGGAGACCGCGCTCCACTCCCTGCCGGGCCGGATGCTTCACTGAGCCCAGGTCCGAGTCAGTCGGGGTAACTCAGGGAAAGGGGGGGGTGCTCCGCTCGGGAGCAGAAGGTCCTTTCCGGACCGAAGAGCTCGGGAGCGGGCCGGGGAGGGGGCCTGGGCGGCCGGAGGCGGTGGAGAAGAACACTCGTAGCTCCGTGCGGCGGCTGGACAGAGCCACCAATCAGCTGGGCGCGCAGACCGCCCATCCCCGCGAGGTTGCGTCCACCCGCGCGGGTGGAGGGCCCAGGCTCTCCGCGGAGCTGCCGCCAACACCCGGGTGGGCCAGGAGCCTAACCGAGTGTGGAGATGAGGGGCTTGGGGATGAGCTAGAAGCGGGCTGGGAACTGCCCAGCCCTCCCCTCCAACTCCTCTGCCCCCGCCTGCGCCCCCGGGGGACCCGGAGAGCCTGGAGCGTGCGGCTGCGTTGTCCTCCAGCTTCTCTTCCGGGAGTCCAGGGACCTGTGAGCCCCGGGGCGGGGGCCCCCGACCTCTCCACACTCCGACAAACCTGACTTCTACCCCTTCCTCGGCCCTTTGTTTCCGACAGGAGCCGTGCCCGGCGGCGGCTTTCACCCCAAGGCTTGGTGGCCCTGGACCCCTCCCGGGATAAGAAGATAGGGCTTGCGGCAGGGGTGAGGGGAGTTAGGGAAAAACCCATTTCCGAAACTCAAGACTCAAGATTATTTTAGTAAACGAAAGAATCCCAACTCTGCGCAGGTGGAAATGATGGATTCATGGGCGACGCGAGGATAGTGTGGAAATTGGGGGGGGGGGGGAGAAAGGAAAGGAAAGGAAAGGAAAAGAGGAAACGAAAGGCACTTGGATGAGATGACGGCGATAGGCTGTAGGCACACAAAGGGAGCGTAGGGCAGGGTTTACGGTTCAAGCCGGCAGCGAATGGGGCACAGACTGTTCCGGGATCCAGGCGTTTTCTCAGTGAGATCTACGTGAAGGGAGCGGAGGGGAGGGGCAGGGAGGGGCGTGTGGCGGGGGGGGGCTGGC